ATAAACTTATTTCATTTTATATTTGAATTTTTACTATTCCTTTTATATAATATAAATTATGCTTTAAACATACCTTAACTTTAAGCAGACATTGATCATCTAACACGAGTCTTAGTACTCTGTGGAACACCCACAGAGGAAACTTTAAGCAAAATTACCAGCCAAGAGGTAATTTTTTTATTAATATTTTTTGTCAAGTTTTTTAATTATTTCTTTAATCATTTTTTCTATGAATCTAAATTTTTTTATCATAATTTATTTACATTTTTCTCTCCATAATATTAAAATAATTTTATACATAATATGATTTTGCTTTAAGTTTTTTATGTTATATTCTATATAAACAAATAAAATTAATTATTATTAATGGAATTGAGCATATAAAAATAGTATAATTTATTTTATATATAATTTTTAAAAAATTTATATAAATTTCAAAAATTAATATAATATATAAATTATGTAAAAATTGAAATATAACAAAAAAAATTTATTGTTTTAGGCAAGAAATTATATACAAAGTTTACCTCCGCTTAAAAAAAAGAATTTCAAAGACGTTTTCCGCGGAGCCAATCCTTTAGGTAATTATTATATAAATTAGATCTTCTAAATTATGTAAAAATTTTTTTTATTATAAAAATTATTTTTATATATTAAATAAACGTATCTTTATATTACTTTTTAGCTATAGATTTACTTGAATTAATGTTAGAATTAGATGCTGAGAAACGCATTACAGCAGAACAAGCTTTAGCTCATCCATATCTTGCACAATATGCTGATCCAACTGATGAACCAGTATCTTTGCCTTATGATCAAAGTTTTGAAGATATGGATTTACCTGTTGAAAAATGGAAAGGTTTGTTTTTTTTTATTTTAATATAATTTTAATTGGTAATATATTGATAATATAATAATTAATTTTTATTCTTTTTAGAACTTGTTTATCATGAAGTTATAAATTTTATACCTCAACAATTACCTACAATAGCTTCGGGTATTGAATCTACTTCGTAAAATTATTGATAGCATAAGTAATATATTAAGATAGATTAAGTAAGATAGTATAGTAAGATAATCTTAATAATTAATAATTATAAAAAAAAATATGTATGTTATATACAAAAAATTATTGTATATAATATGATAAGAAACAGTTAATCATACAAATTTATTTGTATTAGAGGAAAAATGTATATTTTTGTTAATGACAATGTACAAGAAATGCTAATATTTTTCACCTTGAGTATATTAATTTAGAATATAAAACTACTGAACATATGATAAATTATACATATTCATAATTGTATATGAATCATATATTCACATGTTTGGATACTTTGAAGCTACAAGTGTATTTTAATAATTCAATCTAATTAAAATTTAAAATAATATTTTTCAGAAAATAATATTTTTTTTAAAATCAAAATATTTAACATGACAAAACAAATTGATAAAAATAAGTTATAAAAATTTAGCTTCAAGGTGTTAGATTTTGTTCTATTCTATTTACCACTGGTTCTAGTCTGTAACAAAAAACATATTACATTGAATTCATGATTAAAAATAATTTTTATTTCACACAAAAATAATTTAAAATAATTTAATCTGTAAGATACGTTATAATAATGCTTTTAACAACAAATATGCCTAAATAAATTTTTTGATCTTTGTATGTTGCTCGTTATTCGTATTATGTTATAAATAATTATTCATTTTATAATAAATTATTCATTTTATTATTTTATTATGTATACATTTATGAAAAAAACAATGGTTAAGAAGACTATATATTTCATGTATTCTTTCATTTTTTTTTTTTTTTCATATATATTTCTCTAAATTTTAATAATTTTTTTAACCTGTCTTGTATAATGTATAATCTAAACGCAATTCGCTCATCGCATTTTTTCAGCACAGAAATTCTTGCTAAGAATTTTCGTATGAGCTCAAGATATGAACACAAAGCTTTTACGATATGTAAATTGTGGCATCAATGCAAGTGAAGGATTAAATAACCTGATTATGCTGCAAATGTTTAAAATAATTTATCATGCCAATTGCATGGACCGAAAGTTTAACATTGAGATTAGTAACTCTTTATAGTAAACACGAGTGTTTAAGAAATCCTTTTCACCCAAATTTTAGAAATAAACTATGTCGTTACAAAGCTTACAAAGAGATCGTGAATTCTATGAACGTTTGTGGTTTAACAGTTTGTGATTGTATCAAAAGGATTACTTATGTAAAAGCTCAATATTGTTATGAATTGTCTAAAATTAGTGCTGCGATATCTTGTGAAAAATTTTACAGTCCAACAATGAGCTGGTTTCCAATAGTACACCAATTATTCTTTCCATTTATAGCAAATTATAGTGATACCTGTGAGGTGTATATTACTCAATTATAATAAAATATATTATAAAAATTTTATTCATTTATCATAACAATTAACTTCATATTTAGAAGTATGATGATAAAAGAGATACATTTAGAAACTACTGTGATGAAATACGCGATCAATACAGAATACGTTCAAATTCTGTAGAACAAAGAGTATTAAATAAGGATTATAATTATTCATATGCAACTTGTTATTGTGATAAATCGAATACAATTAAACCTCGTACTCGTATCAAGTAACTTATATTATTTATTATATATATGTATATTACATATATATCATATCATATATATCATATTGATAATATATAACATTAATATATTATGATAAAATATATTAAAATTTCTTCACTTTTAGAAAAGTAGAAAAATTTTTTATTCCGGATGAACATGAGGAAATTATTACTTCGCAATCTACAGATTGCAAAAATTATTTACATACGCAAAAAATAACTCGAATTGATGTTGCTAATAATACCAAGAAAAATATCAATACAGAGCATGCAACCCAAACCGAAATCTCTTATTTCAAAACTGCATGTACAACTTGCCAAGTGTGTATAGAAAATGAAATATCTAACACTGCGAATTTAATGACTATAATGATGAAAAATGACCCGGTAAATAGATTTTTATTGTCAGATTAAAAATTCTATTCTATAGATCCGAAAATAAATGTATAAGTTCTGTCCAAATATTCAATTTAGAGAATTTACAAATTAAATTAAATATAGAAAATAATTTTCAGAAAGATATTGGTCGTATAGATTATATTTTGGCAGAAAATGATATTAAAGAGGCAAGGAAAATCGATGAGTTTGACATGTTCGGCAAGAGTATTGCATTTCAATTGCGAAATATAAGTTTCGGTGAATATTAACACTGATATATTATAAAGATAATTATTAAAATGATATATAATTTATTTTTAGAAGTTGCTATTAAATTAGAGAAACATATACAAGATCTAATTGCTCAAGAACGTCTGAATAATATGAAATCAAGATATTTGGATTGTTATACATCTTCAACTTGTAGTGAATGTACACTATTACATAAGGAAATTACTTGTAGTTGCGGTCTTCCAGTTATCAAAATTAAAACCGATTCTTCTTATAACTTCGATTGTAAACAATGGAAATAAAAATTTACGAAATATTTATATTTGTCTAGTAATTAAAAAAAAAATTTGTCAAAAGATATATGTAAAACATAACATCATAATGTTAATTCATAAAATTGCAAGAAGAAAGTTAATAAAATAATATAAAATGATTTGACAAATGCTTTCGTTCGATGTATCGCGCGATCAAATTCAGTTGCATTCTTTAACCAAAATTGACTTTATTATGTGGATAGATTTAAAATTGTAAATGTACATAAAATTATAGACACTGTTTTTTCAGTGATATTGTATTAAAATTTGTTGATAAAAATATTCTTATTACAAAATGTCATCCAAATGGAACGAGAAATTAGTGATTAATTTTTTAAAAGAATACAAGCAATATCCATGCCTCTGGAACCCTTATCATAAGAATTATTATAATTGTTACGAGAAGAATAAGGCATTGCAAAAAATAATCGATGACCTCAATATACCTGGCTTTACTGTAATTGATTATTTGCACCAAATCAAGAGTATAAGAGAAAAGTAATGTACGATCGGAATTTTTGGTAATGAATATTGTGGAAGAGATAAGCGAGAAAACAAAAAATATTATGATCGAGTGTAATTTGTTTTTATAATAATAAAATGATTATACAAGATGTTAATATATTCTTGGAATCACTTTGGAGAATCGATTCTAAAGATCAAAAAAACATAAAAGTCGGTATAAAAAAATATTGGTTGAAATTTATTTATTAAGTTATAAACATCTTAATGATCTTATATGAAAACAAAACGAAATGGCGAATGATATCATGTTTCTTAATATAAATTTAAATTGCTTATGATTTATAAATAAATTTCAATTGATATTTTTGAATATTAACTTCTATATCGATCTTTAAAATCTATTCTATCCAAAAGTGTTTCATATATTAATATCTTATATAATAATCATAATTCATATTATTGAATGAGAAAAAAATGTACAAATCTTTTCATTTATTATGATCCAAGTTAAAATATTTATTTTTAATTAAATTCATTAAGCTATTTGTAGAAAAAAAAAGAAATACATTTTTATATGTATTTCAAATTATTATATGTATATCAAATTTTTATATGTTATATGTTATTTTTTTTATATATTAATTTAAGAATTAATGTAAGAATTATTGTAATCTTTTAGTGATTTTGAAAATAAAAAATTATATTTAATCTAAATTTTAAAAAATCAAAACAGATAATGAAAAGTAATAGATCGTAATAAAAATGTATGAACTATATTTGTTGTGAAAAACTAATTAAGTTTTGTTATTGAAGAGTTTGAAATATTTTTAAATTAATTATTTTTTAAATATTTATATATAAATATTTAAAATTATTATATATAATTATATATATAATTTTATATTATTATATTATATAATTATATATAAAAAGAAATGAGAATCAAATTTTTATTGTACATAAATACAGATATAAAATGGAGCAAATGAAGATGATCAAAACTCTACAACAATCTCAACAAGAATATAAATCACCATTTTGTTGGTACGATATAGTAGCAGATATGTTGGTGAAAGTAATCGCAGACGAGGAAAGAATCCAGCAACAAGAAACAACTCATTTGAACAGGAAAAATAATCTGAATACAATAATAAAAGAAAAAAAAATAAGATATGTTCCTTGTTCACAATTTAAGCCAAAGGAAAATTATTTAATAGATCGAAAAGATCATCCATCACTTTTAAGACCAACTAGAGATACCGAGTTTGAAACAATGGGTAAAAAAAATTATTTTAAAATAAAACAATTAAATATAGATGCTTCATTTTTTTTATAATTTTAGAATATCCTGAGTTTGTTTCAAAACCTTTAATGAATTGTAAACTTAATGATATTTCTTCTTTAACAAAAAATTATGAGAATTATGAATCACCATTTTTAAAATGTCCATTATGTGGTTGGGAAGATATAAAATATAAGGAAATTGAGGAAAACTCAAAAAAAGATTATACTTCTTGTTCTGGATATAATAAAGACATTTTTGGAGTTTATACTAATTGTGCTGGATGTGACAAAGTTACACGTGATAGTACATATGAATATTATAAATTAATTTATATTTTTTTATAAAATGAAAATTATCTGAAAATTTTGTCAATTTAACTTTTTAATTACGAAATGATAATTTGAAATTTCTGTTTTATTAAAACATGCTATATATTTATTGAAGAAATATAATTTATGCAGCTAATTTAAATTTATGTATTTTATCTAGATCTGGGCAACACTGATCTATCGATCTATTATTCAAAAAAAAATGTGAATTATTCTGGAGATTCCGAAATTTTACAGGAATTACCAAAACATACATCTAATGGAAATTTAATAACAACAAAATCTAAATCAATATCAGTAGAATCTGTAAAAGAAAAACAATATCTAAAGACATATACAAATGCAGAAGTACAATATAGTATTGATTCTAAAAAGAGTTCAAAATATGATATAGAAACACCAATGCAAATAAATATTCCTGTAATGACAGATAAATTACAGCTTGATACCATAAAAGCTTCTACTCATCTAAAAATAATTTTATCAGATCAAAATAAATCTTTAAAATCAAAATCACTTGCAATAGAAAGTGCTTTTCAAAATATGAAATTTATAGAGAGTAAAATTATACAGAGTGCAAAATTAGAAACATCTACGAAAGAAATACAAGTTTCTGAAGATATTCATCAATTCAAGAAAAAAGAAATAGATACTAATACGATCAATTATATTGATAAAGAAGTGCAGAATACAGTTTGTATAACAAATGGAATAAAAAAATCTATTTCACTTCAAACTTTAAATCAAGTTGATCAAAAAGAAAATCAAACTGATAAATATAGGAAAAATTCTACAGAATCAAAAGAAGTATTAGTTAATATTATAAATCAAATTTCGAAAGGAATACAAACTACTATTTTTGTATCACGAGGAAATTTAACTTGTCATATATCTTTACAAAACATGACAGAAACTGGAACTACTATGTCCATACACCAAATTCGTAATGTTGGTTGTGTAACAAAAGAAACTAAACAATTTAAATCGAACTTTGTACAATGCGTTTCTAAAGAAAAATTTCCATCTTTAGTTCAATCCAAATCATGTAATTCTGTGACATATATTCAAAATATGGATTTGAAACATTGTGTAAAAAAAAAAAGTAAGCATTTTGATTAGATGTTTATTTGGAACTTTTTGTAAAATATAGTATGATAAGAATTATATATTATGTAATATTTTATTATAAAATATTATATTAATAAAATTATTTTAATTAACAAAACAAGAATCTGAAGATTCATGTTTAATAGACACGTGTCCACAAAATATATTACATCTTTGTAAAGAAGATCCTTCCGTGATGTCACTTTTACAACAACTTTTGCAGAATATATTATTCATACATGAAGAAAAAATGCAATGTGGAAAATTAAAGAAACAAATCGATTGTAAGTTATAATCTAAAATTGTTATAATCTAGAACATAAATTTTTATTCATTGTTAGCATAAAAAATAAGCTCCAGAAACTTTTAAAGATTTTCAAATCATTTTCGAATTTAAAATTTATTTTAAATAATTTTAAAAAATTTTAGATAATTTTAGATTTTAAATAATTTAGTAAAAAAGTTATAATATAATTAATATGTTTTAAAGTTTTAAATAACTTTATATATCTTTTTTTTATAAAATTAATATTTGTATATTACTTTTATATTACTCTTGTACTTTTAACATTTTAGTTTTCAAAAAAAAAAGAAATTATATTTAAATCTATTTATATAAATTAAATTTTTATAAGATAATTGCTATAATTCCTATGCTATCATCATATTATTCATATATTACGAATGATTCAAAACACATTTATTGAAAACTTATTCATTCGGAACATAATATTAATTTATTAATAATAATAATATTAATTATTTAATATATAATAATATATTGATAAATTATTAATAATTAAAATTTATTAATATTTGCAATATAACAAGCATTAATTTCAGATGATTATAAATATTATCCGAAAGAGAACTGTTTAATCAATGCAACAAAAATGGTGTCAGCAATCAAAAGTCATATCATGATGCTAGAATTGAAAGATATCAAGGAACTGAAAGAATCCTATCAGAAATTAAGTACAAAATCATTTCCTCAAAGAGTTCAAAAAAAACCCAGTTTAAAAAAAATTGACACCTCTATCTGTAACAATAAATTGATAATGACTGAAGAAATATTTGTGCCATTATTTCGATCTACGATTACAAAACAGGATGAAAAACAAAAAATAATGGACAAATTAATATTGGATAGGAAAAAAAAGTTTTTAATGGCAGATAAAAATGTTTGCACTTATTTAAATTGCAAAGATATTGGTATCAATGGATCGTTTCATCGTGATATACAAATTCAAAGTGATTCTCAATTGTTCAAAGATTCTGCATGCTTAGCAAGAGATATAAAACAAAGAATAAACGTAGGTGTTCAAAAACGAGATCCTATACTGGTTCGAGTGATTAAATGCAATGAAAATCAAGCAATAATAAAATCGGATAAAGAAACATTAACTGTGATGACAGATTTGAATTATGGAAAGAAATATATAAGTAAACGAATAGAAACATGTGGTCGATCTACTTGTATTCCATCTACTATTTGTAGAAAATTGAGCGAAGCTAATTTGAAATGTGCTCTTTACAAGGAACGTGCAAATCAAGTAATCGATAATTATCATAAACAGTCATTTAAGAATAATATATGCGATATAAATTGTAAAAATAATATATTTTATGACTGGACTGATGTAACAAATGATGTTAATTCGAAAATTCCGATGTGTGTAAGATCGCAGAAATATATGTATGCAAGAAATAAATAATTAAATATTAGAATTACTTTTACGTAATATTAATAATATAATTGGTATAATGATGCTCAAAATTTGATTTATTAAATTTATTAAATTGTTAAATTTTATATCAAAAAATATAAATATGTATTTAGAAAATATAAATGTCTTTGAAATAATCTTGATGTTTTTAATTTTTTTAAATGATTATATTATATATTCTTATTATATATTTGTGTTCTTTTAAACTTTTTTCTAAAAAATAACATTTTTATAATTATTTTGTTTTTTAGATTAGTATATATTAAGAGAATGATAAAGAATGATAAAGATGGTAAAAATAAAAGAATATAATATGGAAGAACAAACTTCATTTTATTATATGAAAATGTATAACATTTTGTCAATTGGAATATTATATGAAAATTACATCATTTAATTTTCATAGTAAATGAATATTCACATTGAGTCAGAGATAAACTCTTTATATGTGTGTATGATAAATACCAATTATTTGTATTTAATTATAATAAAATAGTATAAAAAAGTTTTACTTTTCTTCTTGTTGATTACTCCTATATTTTTATTATACTAAATTTTAGTTGTTATTTGTTTTATTATCTAAAGTTTTATTGTTCGAATATTACCTTAATTTTATTAACCTGAGTATGTACGATAATTAATAATTATTTGTTTACAATGTACAAGATATCAGAAAGTAAAATATATCAGAATTAAAATAAAACATTAATAAATTTTAACATATTTAAAAATTGCACTTTTCCTTAATAACGAAATGTTGTATTAATGATATTTTTACCATTGTTAAGATGTTGTATATGTATATGTAAGAATAATTTTGCGTATATAAGATGTTCACGCTATTAGTTTTTAGCATTTTTTTTCGCAAGAAATAAATTTTTGTTTCATTATTCTATTGCAAAGAAAACAGTGAAATTTTTGCATTTTTTTCATTTAAAAATTTTTTTATTTTTTTCTAAAATTTATCATTTGAGAGAAAAACACTGGCAACTAATAGAGTAAACATTCAGAATATATGTACATATTATTAAAAAATCAACAAGAGATACATTTTTAACTTTTACAATATTTTTATATGAATAATTTTATATTTTTATAGAAATAACGAATTTAATCGTTACATAATGTTAATTTGATAAAATTTAATTAATTATAAAAAGATAATTATATTAACAAGTTTTATATTCTCAACAGAAATAATACTGTTGATATTATTAACAATGGAAGTCATACTCCTCAATATATATCACTTATAATTATTAAAATATGTTTAATAAATTATTGTACTTTCAATATTTAATGATTTGTCCATGGTCATATTTAATAAAACATGCGAATATCGTTTGACTAATTTAAATTAATATCATTCATTAATTCTTAGTGAATTAAATCATTGCAAATATTAAAATCCATTTTGGAGAAATTGTACCTATAAAAAGAAAATAAGAGAAATTATTTTAAATGTTACATTGCATAAATTTGATAGATTTTAAATGAGTTGAAATTATATAATAGTAAAATCATAAGTAATATTATCTAATATTACATAAATAAAGTTTACAAACATTTAATCCTTTTTTTTGGCATCTGCTTTCTCATCTTTAGCTTGGCCTCGGCCCAGCAATTTGGCTAACGAATCCCAAATTCCTCCGAGGAATAACGCACAGAATAGATTTTCGAATGGTACAAATGGATCATGAATTCCAAGTAGTATAGATGATAACTAAAATGAAATAAATAATAATTGCATTTAATAGCAAAAATATTAAAAATTACATTTTATTTACCTTGAAATACACGAAGAAAATAACGATACCAAAATAAACCAGTGCGTGAGGTGCCGAAATAAGATCAGTCTTTTTGTCTAGGACGAAAATAATGGATGCAACCATTGATGCTTTTGTAGGGCTAAATGATAAAATTTTATATTTATTTCAATTTCACTTTATGAAAAAGAAATAAAATAAACATACAAACTAGGTTGCATAAATTCCATAGCAGTTGGAGTCCATACTCCCCGTATAAGTCGTTCAAAAAGTTTTGTAAAACCTGCTCCATTTCCTGAAATTAAATATATTTATTATATATATTTATATTTTAATATATTTATATCTAAATATTTATATTTTTTATATATATATATATTACATATTTGAATATTTTTATTTTTATCTTTATATACTTAATATTAGAATTTACCTTTGAGTGTTCCAATTAATACCATAATAAGATATGCATTTGGATAAAGTTTTCCTGCATGAGTTACTCCATCATATACTTTTTTACACCTGTAAATTATAGAAAACTAATATAAATATGTTATATAAAAAATAATGGTATTAAAAAATAAAATAACAAATAATTATTTATTTTTTTACATACCTATATATTTCTTTCATAGTAGCACATACAATTTTTACTGGTAAAAATTTAGCAATTTTATATCCAATATCAAATGGTGTATAAAATATCACATACCTGTAAATTTTGCAATTAATATTATATATAAATATTTTTCAGAGTTCAATTAAATATTATAGAAAAATTTTAATTTATTAAAATAATCAAAATAATTTCCATATAAAATATTTATAATTTAAAATTTAATAAGTTATCTTCCTATTATATTTTTATACTAACCAAACAATGGTTGCTACTATTACTTGTGGTGTGTTTTTTAAAGGTGCAAGAATAGGTTCTCCTAAAAGACCATTGCATAGCATACCACTTGCAAATACTACCAACATTGTTGAAAGCCAACATGATAGAGGATGTTTCCGAGAAAATGCTTGAGCACCTATTATTAATAGAATTATATATAAATATAAATTAGCAAAAAAATTATGAAATTCAACAAAGTTTTACAATGTATAAAATGTAATAAATTAATATAATACTTTATTTTTTTAAATTTTATATATTTATTAAATAAATACTTTTATATAAAAATATAAAAATTTAATTTACAAATATTTAAATTGCCACAGAATTTTATTTTTATAATACACCATGAAATATTAAAGAGATATATTGTTTCAACTAGGTCGCTTGGAATCCTTACAAGTATACATTATATGCATTCATGCAAACATAATACCAGCTTGTCATAAACATGAAAATAATATTATTTAATATATTTTAAAGATTCTGATATCAATAGCAAGATATTAATTATAAAAAAAAATTCATTAAAATGTATATAATATATAATATATATAATAAATGATATGTTATAAATATTAAATTAATAAGAAATTAAATTAAGATAAAATAAAATATACACAAGATTTTTTAATTATTTATTTTTTAAAGATTGGTCTTTCACATTTTACTGCATAAAAAAAGTTATGGAATAACACTTTCATTAATTTTCAAAATATTCTTATATAATATGTTTCTATATTTTTATTAAATATTTATAGAATTATAATATAATTTATAATATATATTTTTATATAATTTAAAATAAATATAATAGTATAAAAAATCATATAAGATAAAAATTGAAGCAAAAAATTGAAAAAAAATTTGGCGTATCCACAAGGATGTATACTGAAATAGATTAGCTCATTGAATGTCACAAAGTAAGATTATTATAATTGTGCCAGATACTATATGAAAATAATTATAGACAATATGATGAAAAATTTTTTCTTTGATTTTTAATCTTCTTATTTAATGTTAAATTGAGAATAATATAGAAATAGAGTAAAAAAAGAAATTTTTAAAATATTATTTTTATCCCATTTCTATATTGTTAATAATGTTAAGTATATATAAAAATAAATATGTATATTAATTTTTATTACATTCTAAAAAATTATAGTTCAATAACACATTTTGTAATATATTTAATTTAATATATTTTAAATATATATAATCTTATATATAACTTTATAAAAAATTAATAAAAATATTTAAAATAATGATGAAGCTTTAGCATTCAATTACGAAATAAAAAATATACAAAATATTTTTTTAATTCTACTGAATTTTAAATGAGAGAGAAAGCTTAATAGATAATAGAAAATAACAAAAAAGATAAACATATAAGAAGGTAAGGATGTTAAAAAAGAATAGAAAGAAATGGTAGGGAGCGAAACATAATCTTAGAAAAGGTATAAGCTGAATCTGGGCAGATTAAATTTAGAATTCGTCGGGTAGGCTTGAGCTTACCGGGTCCTAAATCTTCTCTGACGTGTAATGCACAGAGTACGCAGTGTGCAATATCAAAGTACGGAAACATTTTCAATTTAATGACCTGATTGGCCATATCCAGGAATGCTTCGGGATCCATTTCGATTGATTTCTATTTTTTTCACAATTAACTCTTCAGTTTCGTTTACAAAAACCGTATCTTTTGGCGTTCAACAATTTTCGATTTTGAAACAAAGTCACAAGCGCCCGCGAACGACGCTAGCTATGCGCTGTCTGCTAGACTTAGTCGTCTGCTAGTTATGGAAGCGATTCCTACTATTAGAATCTTATCGTTGAACGAACAAATTTTGTGGCCTCATTAAAAATCGTTCCTACAGATGGCAGTAAACGATTGGATTTGCATTTTTTATCGTACTTTTTTGAAGGAATTTTAAATTATTCAAAATTAAATTTTCATTTTGTAATTTGTAATTAGAAGAGAAAAAATTAATATAAATTTTTAAAATTTAATTATATTGATGATTTATTTATTGTCTTTTTTTTATATTTTATACTTTTTTATTTTGAAATATAATTTTGAAATATATAAATAAATTCTAGAAACTTATTTAGATAGAATTAAATAAATAATGATATTTTATTTTGCTTGTTTTAAAAATGATTATATATTTATATAATTTTATAGTATTTTTTTTTTATTTTAATAGCATCGATAATATAAATTGCACACATAATAAAAATATTTTTCATTCATAAAATTATTTTTTTATTTATTATTTTATAAGTTACTATTTTATATTTCGATTGCTCTTTGTCTTAAATAGCTATAAATTATACCGATACATATTCTATTTTCGCTAACTTTTCTATAATGCTATATTCAGATATATGTATATAAGTATGATTTTATTCGTATTAGCAAGTATCGAGTAACCTACCTAACAATCGTCTATACAAATCTTTATTCAAAAAATATGATGTGGTTATCTAATCGTAGTGGTACATGAATGCACGTATAAATACATTTTATCTAAATGTATTTTTATGGAGATTAAATCGATTGATAACAATGATCCATGATATATTAACGTGGAGTCATGGAGGAATAAATTTGAACTAACGAATACGAAATTGTGCCAATTAAATAAGAAATACAGATATAAGGAAGATACAACGAAAGGTGGGCATTATACTTATTTAATTATTATATTTTAAAAATTAATTTTGCATAATAAAAAATTGCAATAATAAAATTTTTATGTAAAATTTTTGCAAAAAATATTATATTATATATGATTGTTTGAAATCATATTTGATTACAAGTACGATAAAAAAAAAATTAATAAAATCTTGTATGTTTTTTTATTTGTTTCATATGAAGAAGAAATAACAAGAAATAATACAAATTTTCTTTGCATGAAACAATTTGTAATATATGTGATTAATGTATCATATAAAATTGAATATTGTGGTTCATCTCTGAGTTAATTTTAATTCAAAAGCTTAATTTCTTTTCAAAGTGCCTTTTATATTTGAATACAGACAATGGTAAGATTATTCTTCATTCATTTTGATTAATATAATTATGTTTTTCTTTATATATTAACAATGGTAATTTTCAGAGAGACGGAATAAGATTACGTCAACATGTCTCTAAAAGATCCACTAGTGATGTGTTATATGAGGATAAAGCTTCTTCAAAGAAGAAAGAAGTACTGCCAAATGAAACTCAACATTTACTTTTTCTTTTTACATTTTATCTTTTTGTGTCCATTATTATTATTACATTTGAAAAGAAATTACCTGAACCATTAACAATAAATAAAGAAGGTTTATATCCTGGAAGATTTATTGCTGAAAGAGCACATAATCATCTTTTGAATATTACATCTATTGGACCACGAATTGTTGGAAGTTATGAAAATGAAGTATTGGCAATTAAATATTTAACTAATATCATTAATAATATAGTTAAAGGAGCCAATGAGAATCATAAGATTCTAGTCAATGTAACCAAGCATAGTGGAGCTTTTCCTTTAAAATTTTTAGATGGAATGACAAATGTATATAGAAATGTTCAAAATGTTATTGTTAAAATTGGTCCTCATAGATCTACTCAGAGTAGTTTATTGATAAATTGTCATTTTGATACTTTTCCAGAAAGTCCCGGTAATGATTATGAAAAAATTTTATTTAATGATCAATAATTAAATATTAAATTAATTTTCTTTTTTAGGTGGATCTGATGATGGAGCTAGTTGTGCTGTGATGTTAGAAATTTTACGTGTAATTAGTCATAGTTCAAAATTATTAAAGCATAACATTATATTTTTATTTAATGGTGCTGAAGAAAATTTATTACAGGTATATTAATTATATATAATCATTGATAAATGAATGAAATTTAATTAATATTTTAAAAAATTATACAGGCTTCCCATGGCTTTATAACACAACATCCTTGGGCTAAAGAAGTGAGAGCTTTTATAAATTTAGAAGCTTGTGGTGCTGGTGGTCGTGAATTATTGTTTCAGGCTGGACCTGATAGTTCTTGGATGCTTCAAGTACCATTGAATAATAATAATAATAATAATAGTAATAGTAATAATAGTAATAGTAATAATAATAGTATAAATTATCTTATACTTGTTATTACTATAGATATTTTAATATATTTTTATTTTTTTTATAGATATATGCTACATCTGTTCCTTATCCTTATGCATCATCCTTAGCTCAAGAAATCTTTGAAAGTGGCATTGTACCTGGAGATACTGATTTTCGAATATTTAGAGATTTTGGAAATGTTTCTGGTATTCATTTTATATTATCTATTTTAATTTTATACTTTTTTTTATTTTTTAGATATTTATATATTATATATATATTTAAAAAATTATAGGCCTTGATTTTGCATGGGCAACTAATGGTTATGTATACCATACTAAATTTGATAATATTCACCAAATACCATTAGGATCTTTACAAAGAACTGGAGATAATATTCTTGCTTTATTACAAGGAATAATATTAGATAATTATTTATCCGAAATACCATTTCAAGATCATACAGGAAATCCTGTATTTTTTGATTTCTTAGGTACATTTGTTATCAGATGGCCTCAATATATGGCATGTACAATTAATATTATTAGCATAATTGTTAGTATATATTCGATATATTTAAATATACAAAATGCTCGTCGAGGTACGTATATGTAGTATTAAATCAAATTTATTAACATATAATTTTAATGTAATCAAAATTTTAAATTTTAATTTAGATACGAAAAAATCAATATATTTAAAACATTTATTATTATGTACGGGAGCAATAATTGTTTCATGGCTAGTATCTATACTTTCATGCACATTAATCGCACTTATTCTTACTAAACTTGGAAAAGTTATGAGTTGGTATGCAAGACCAGCATGGTTATTTTTTCTATATGTGGTTCCAACTATTTTCATATCAATGACATTTTTTTTATTCATTGGCTCACGTCAAAAAAAGGCAAGTTTATAATAATATTTTAAAATATATATATATTATGGATATTCTTAGTTTTATAAATCTTTTAATTTTGATTAACGTTTTATAGGAAGTTAAATCTGCATGGACTTTATATCAAATATATTGTGATTCATATTCCATAATATGGATATCTGTTCTTTCTTTTTGTGTTGTATTTGAGATACGATCTGGTTTTATACCATTACATTGGGTTGTATTTCCTACTGTTGGAAATATAATTCGATGTAATTTCTTTAACAAATGGAGAGGTATATATAATTTTATCAATGAATTATTTTATCATGGAATTATTATAGTGAAATTAATGTTATTCTTAATTATATTATTTTTAATTCATTTTGCTCATAGGTTGGAAATGGCTGTTTTATTATTTAATGACGACATGTTTACCTTATATACAATCTTTTTATTTAATAATTGGAGCTCTTTATCTTTTTATACCTATAATGGGACGATCTGGTAGCAGTATAAATTCGGAAGTTGTTATGGCTAATATGTTATGCATCCTCTTTTCTCTGCTACTTAGTTTCACGGTATATTGTTAAGTTATTAAGCCATTTAAAAAAATCTTTTTTATTATATCATAAAAATCTAATATAATATTCTATTTTTAGTTACCATTTGTACTTTTAATAAAAAATGCAGAGAGAATCTTAAGTGTATTAATGGGAATATTTTTAATAACTATAGGAGTATTAATTTTAACTCCACTTGGTTTTCCTTATAGTGGTGATTTATCATCATTAGCACCAGAACGATTTATGATTGCGGTAATTTTTATAATTAAATTCTGATTGATTTATAATTGAATTAAATAATTGAAATGATTGATAATTTTATAATAAAAAATATTTGATTTATATATATTCAGCACACACAAAAACAATATTATGATGTTGATGGTAATTTACGTTATTCTGGAACGGGATATTGGATAGCTGATTTAGATATGAATAGTCCACATAGTGTAGAAGCTGTAGTACCTGAAATAGGTGCAGTAATGTCAACAATAAAAGATTGTGAAAAAGAATTATATTGCGGCCTACCATATTTTATGCCTGTTACAACATTTTTATGGTATTTTTAATATACTCAACATTATATTATTTTAAAAAATATTAGAGAAAATTTAATCAAATAATACTTAATAATATAATATAAAAATATTTTAAATAGGAAAACAAGTTGGATTCCAGGCCCTGCTCCATTAATTAGTATTCCAACAAAACTTGAACTTATTTCAAAGTCTATAAAACAAAATATTGTTAGTTTTACTTTTAATGTTACAGGTAATTCTTTTATTATCATATAAATTAAATAAATAAATAAAAAGAAGAGAAAATAAAAAAATCAATTAAAATTTTACTAGGTCCTGATCATATAAGTATAATTTTATCTCCATATAAAGGGGTTCATTTACAGAAGTGGTCTATTTTAGAAGGGAAACCATTAGAAGGACCTAAATGGAACAATAGAGAAACATATTTTATTTATTATTCTTGTGCATCTGACTGTGTTCCTTTCACATTTTCTCTTGAATTGAATGTAAGTAAACTATGAAACTCTTAAATAAATGAATGAGTGTATATTAATTTCGCTAATAATATTTTTAATATTTATGTATTTCTTATATAGATAAATAATATGCCGAAAACTCCATGCTTATCAATAGCACTAGGTGGTCATTTTTTACATGGTGAACACCAAACATCTTTAAGATTCAAACGATTCTTAGCACAATTTCCATCTTGGTCAGTCGTCACTCCATGGACAGCAACATACACTTCTTGGCAATTTTAATAAGTAACATACAAAACTAATTCTCTCTTGAATCTTTACTGAATGCTTAGAGAATAGTTTACTGAATATTGTAAGAATAGTCAATGATAGCCTAATGAAAACGGCATTGTACTACATGTTATATAGACATTTACAAGATATATAATATTTAATAATACAAATTATAAGCTTAAAAATTAAAATAATCTTATATTATTTGTTAATTTTTTGCAATTGCAATATAACGAAAAGTTACAGTCTATATTTAAAAATAGGAAAAAAAACAAGAAAAATATATTCAGGATGGAATATTTTTCATTCTATTTATATAAATTTTTTACTAGTATATTATTAAATAGATTAAAAGAATTTTCAAGGTAGACCTAAGTTAGAAATAAAAAAATTCGAAAAATTTCGATTTTCTTAATTATAGTCATGGTAGGATACTATAATTTAGCATATCAAAACTGTATGCCTTAGATTTACAACTATATGTAATTCTTAAATGCTAGAATAATAATTTCCGTAGACTAACTAATCTGTAACAGCAGATAGTGAATCGAAGAAATTGAAATATTGAAAAATCATCGCTATGCGATAATTATCTTTGTATTGCGATCTCTATTAAGGACACTATTTAATGATTATTCTTCTATCTTGAATAATCGATATATGCATTTTATGAATCCAGTTAAAGCACAAATGTTATAGTCTGCTTTATTATGCGTTATATTAAGATTTATTTAGGTTTAATTTAGGATAAAATTAATCTATAAGAATTCCGATTTCTTCACTAATGAATTTTATAGTTATTACATATGTCTTATATATTTATTTCTCTTTTAACGTTTCGTTGATTTTTTTGTTACAATTGTTTAGAATGAGAACCATATCATAATTGATTAAAAAATGCTTATATTAGAATTTAGTAATGTAATTTGTTAAAGGGTTGTTTTATTAATTTATTTTTTTTAAAGGAGATAAAATTTTTTTATTACTTCATTCGTTTTCATTTACATTTGTTGTTGTCAAGAGACTGAATTTATTTTAATTGTTGTTGATAGTTGTTAGTATATATTAAATTTCATTTTTGTACTATTTAAATAACTCAATTTGCATAGTATATTAATCGGTAAATAGTTGAAAAGTTAAATGAATATAATTAAGAAATATTTATAATAACATTTTCAAATTTAATTGTAAGAAAATTATGCCAATATTGATAGCCAATCACATAGTCAGATGTAAGTTTAAAGTATTATTAGGAGATAGTATGCGAGAAATTTAAATATATTATTATAGTACTTTTACACAAATGTAAAAAAAAAACATATTTAAATGCATGTATGTTCAACTCGTTATGTGATAACATTAGAAGATTTAATTTTCTATAATTGATAATCTATAAATTTGAATTCAATTTTAATATATATTATTAATTAAAAATTTTCTTAGTCAAATATTGCAATATTTTGAAATTTTATTTCTATTTTTTTTATTGTGATTTATCTTATAATTGATTAAATATTTAAAAATTTACATATAAAAAATATGTAAATAATATTTAATTTTCGTTGTTAAACACGTTAATTATATAATTTTTATTGCACAAGTGGTTACAACTTTATTATGAATGAATCGCACAGTTAAGTATCAAAATAATATTATTATTGGATTTTTACTTCTGCACTTATTCATTTTACAAAAATTTCTATTATTCAAAATATTTTCATTATTATTTACAATAGTAATTGATAATAATGACGATCACTAAATATCACAAGAATTTTGTTGTCATTCATATATGTATTTATTTGTTTTTTTCGAGAATGTGCTTAATTATTTACATAATTCTTACTTCTTTTTAATGTTCACGTTGTAATTTTATATACGGGTAATGCTATTGTTATTTAATGTTTCTTAGCAAACAAATGAAGTTTTACACGAATGAAGAATAAAAGTGTTGATATTTGAATTTTCTTGTTTATTCCCTTTAATTTCTTTTTTTTTTTGTAATTTGATGGTATCACAAAATTAATAATTTAGAAACATGAAATAAAATATCAAATTATTATGTCTATAAACTAATAATAGAATTTGCTTTAATAATTTTTCGCAATTGTTAGATATATATATATTATATAATATATATAGAATATAATATATATATTATAGAATTCATCATTCATTGTTACTATTGTCCATTGATTGATCATATCAATTTCCTGTTTTCGTAATCATTGATTACATGTGCAATCTAAGTGAATTCTATTATTCTGAATAGTATATTAAAATTTTGACAATATTTTATTTAACAACTTTTTTAATTTTTAAATTCAAAAAATGTTGAATTTTAAAATTTACAGATTATTAAATTATATAATTAAAAAATATTGAAATGTTAAAAATTTGTAATTTTTTAATTCAAATATTTCGAAATATTGAATTTATTTTAATTTTAGAACAATAAAAAAAATAATTTTCAAATATTTAAAATTTCAAACTTTTAAATTTTTAAATATTCAAATTATATTTAAAACCATTATGAAAAGTATAATATAAATATAAAGTATAAATTTTAATTATTCATTAAGTATTCAATAACAACGTCCAATAATCCATTACTGTGGCGAATTCTTCATTATTCATTTAATTAAAAATTATTTCAATAATTCTATTTTATTCTTACTTATAATTTAATCTATGAAAACTTTTATTATTTTATATTTAATAAAAAGTAAAACAAACTTTCCATTATTACTTCAATAAATTCGTTATCATATTATTATTAAATGTTGAAGAATAATCTTGAAATTTTTCTAGACCCAATGATCTTCGATTTCTGTAAAAATTCATCAAATTTTCAATTCTTTGCTTTTTCTTTTCAATTTTCATTTTTTCTTATACGATTTCGTAAGAAATGTGTCAATATTGACGCACTGGCATCCTGTAAGACGAGACCGATTTCCTGGTCGAGGCGACACTGATCTGCAAACGGGTCGTGGTATTCGACTCGCGAGCCACGAACCGTGAAAACGGTCTGATAATCACAACTAAGATACGTTGATTTATCATAATGTGGGATACCTGGTTATATTTGGTGATAGATCATTAGAGACATCAGGTTTGAAAAAAAGAAGAAAAGAGAAGAAAAAAAGGGAAAATAAAAGAAGAAAAGAAGAAAAATAATTATCAGTTATAGTTGCACGATAAGGAAAGGAGCACGATATACTATTCAGATAAAAAATCTGTTTTGAAACCGGTCGAAACAATATTTTTTTTTTTTTTTCCTTCATTCGCTGCGTCACGCTTGCGGATCGCGGTTATCTTAATGGAAATTGTTGGTTTGACTCGTTTATCGATCGATTTTACGCGGAAGTTAACCGATAATAGTTTTCACGAATATCGGTGAATTGAAAACGATTGTGATTGAAGATTTTTTTAAAACTACTAAAACCAGGTGATGAATATTAAATAAATTTTTTTTATATGAAGTGAAAAAATTATAAAGCTTATTGGGATTATTAGCGAGGAATGAAGGTAAAACTTAATTGAAAAAAAAATTGAAGGTAAGACTTAATTTTTTTTTTTAATTTATCTATCGATTTTTTGATTTTTATTTTGATTTAAAATTTAAGATTTTAAAAATTAAGGAACTCTTAAGATTATTAGGAATAAATCGATCAATTATTAGAAATTAATCAAATTAATTTGTTTTTTTAATTCATCGATTATTATTTCATTTATTTTGAAAGATTATCGGGATTTCAAATTACGTAATAGACAATGGTTTTTAGTATCTAGAACTGATATTTGTGCAAAAGATTATTTGATTATTTTAAGAATAATATTAGTGATTCTTGTTTTGCCTTGGTAAGATAGTAAGATAGTTTTAATAAACTTAACGATAACGGTGATAATTGTATCGGGAGCTTGCAAATTAAAGTACCGTTAATTATGAATCGGCTGTAAAACGGTTAGTTGGAAAAGTTGCCAAGTGAAACTAATTATCTTATTCTTCTCAAGTAGGGTTAATTGTTATTGTTAATGATCCATACACATATGATAAATTATACTAATATAGTTTATATATTTCATTTATATTTATATATCTCGTAAAAAAAAATTTAAAAATATTCCAAAATTGAATATAAATTATGATTTAATTTGAATGACTAATCACATGATTATAATATTAAAGATAATTAATATTAATATTAGAGATTCATTCGTCATTCTTGATAAATTAATTAATATTTTAATATTTATTTTTGTTTTCCATTTTAAAAAATGAGGGGAAAAAAATGTAAAAATTGAAAGAATATTTTTATACTTGGATAAACTATGACTTATTTTTGTTTTGTAAAGTGAAAGATATGCAAATATTCTGTATTGTAAATGACGTCGTCAAACCAAATTTCATTGTCGTCACGATTTTTCACGCAGAATCTTGTGTTGAACTGAGTCTGTTTGTTCTTCAATTAGCAACTGGGATTTTTTAGTTCCAGAGCACCTCGGCAGGCTACCTCATTTGCACGGCCTACTTCTTTCCTTATGCCTTTCGCTTCTTTCTTCGTCTATCGAAAGGGTGGCTATTAAGATATTGCCGATTTGAAACTGAAGAATTGAAGATCAATCAATTATAATAATATAATATTATAATCAATTTTAATATGACAATTATTTACTTATTAACGTAACCTCATAATATCTCATAATATTGAAATTGCGTTTGCAAAAAACAGAAAAGAGAAATGTGCAATTTTACATTTTATTCGAAATCTCTTAAAATCCATTATCATTATATTAAGTAACAAATGAATTATTTCATTGTAATTTGAAATGAATATATTTTATTCTATTTCAATCTTCCAATCCTAAACAATACACAGTTTTTTTCTTTAAAATAAATATAAATTATTTAACGTAAATCATTTCTTTTTATATTGATAAATGTACAAAATATATTTATTCGTTTTTCTAATAAATCAAAATTAAACATCCGAATATCCAGAATCAGATGAAAGGTATGGACATACGCAGCATTCGTGCGTTCCTTTCGCTCGTCGTGTAAGTACACAACGTTCTATGGTCTTATATATGCATCCACAAGTACGTGATTTGTTTACCGATTAACTATTCTTCTCTCGGTTTTTTTTTTTTCTCCTCTACACTTCGAACTTTGTCATGTGAATATTGTGACGTACAGAGGAACAGAAAGAAATTCTCGATGGGCCACGAATCACTGAATCCTACTATGACTTTTTCCGCGAATATTTTTTTGGATTTTTCTTCCTTTTTCCTTCGAATCTCGAAACTTTTTTTTTCCAATCTTCTATTAAAATTAAAAATTAAGTTATTTGGAATCTCTATTTTGATTCTCCATTAATGTTGAATATTGTTTAATTTTTCTTTATTTTTTTTTTTATTGCTATTGTCGTTTGGGAAGTAAAAATTGAGGAAATGAAAGATTCATTTAGATTTATTATTTTAATTTCATCGTGGATCATTGAATTCCATAATATTGATAATTAATATTTATAATTTTTATTTTTATGCAGTATTATCAATCTTTTATCGTTATTCGTTTTATCATGTTATCGTGTTAAATATTTTATTTTTATATTCATTCTCTTCCAGATTGAGAATTCATTAATAAAAATAAAAATAACAATATTTTTTTTATAAAATTATATCGATTTTTACTTTTTTCTTGTACAACAAATATTTATAATTTATAATTCTATATCTTGTTTATTATTTATTATTTATAATTCTATATCTTGTTTATTTTAAAGTCGTAACAATTTTTTTAGATTAGAATTATCAAAAAGTTTTTTGTAAATTGTAATAAAAGCTAATACATTATTCAATAAAAATTGTTATTGAAAATTTTAAAAACAAAGATCTAATTGTTTTAAAAGAAAAAAAATATATATATTAGTTGAATCTAAATCATATAGAGATAAAAAAAAACTATATAAAAAAAAGTATAATTATACGTACATAATATTTATATAATAACAAATAAACATATAAATATCCATATACAAATGATACGTGTAAATACATATAATCATAACGCGTATCCATAAAAAACTTGAGAAGACAAACTTTGAGGTGATAACAACAAGATTTTGATTTATCAATCAATGCATAATCACATCGCATGCTTTCTTCTGTGAAAAAAAAAAAAAAAAAAATGAAAACGAGTAAAAATATGTAAAAATAATAAACTAATCGTAATAAGAAAAAATCAAGGAATAACACAATGTCATTTTTTTATCATACAGATTGAACATCTTTCCTAATCATCATTAAAATTAAGAAGAAGTAAGAAAGAAAATTGATTCTTGCTATGAGCAACGACATCGTCTCATCCAACTGTATACTCGGGCACACGTTCACCTGTGCACGCGGGTATACAACGCAAGAGTATGATGTCACC